GGAAAATTTAAGATTGAAAGAACAAAAAATGCTGCCCGACAAGTTACCTTATTTTTTTTTCAGATATTGTTGTGATACACATTACAAAGAGACATGTGAAGGGCGAGTTAGAAGTGAAGAGAGCAGTGTGTGTGTATATATGTATTTGTGAAGCTCAAATCGAGCTTGTTACAAATTTTATAATTTTTATATTAATTTTTTCACGTACACAACTGACGTTAGCTCCACGTACCACCAGTGGTACCATAGTTTGAGAATCCCTGTTCTGGAACGCTATTTTAGCATCTGAAGATAAAGTTATTAAGTTGTAGTTATTGAGGATTGAGTTATGAATATTCATATTTTACAATACAATTGAGTGTTAGTTCAAGGTATATCAAAAACAGCATTAAAAATTAAATAAACTCCGTGTTCTTTAAGATTTCGAAGACATTTCTTCCATTCTTATCTAACAAGATATGCATTTAAAGGATCGGTGTAATCGAGACCAATTTTTTTACACATTTTTTTTATGTTAATGTTATAAATTCACCCACATGTGATGTTATTAGTATTAATAATATTTTTTAACAATTAATTTTGTGAGGCATATGCAAGTGTGTAATCTACCAGTGTGTTCTTCCCATCAAATTGACGCCAGATATTTTCAGTTATGCCAGAAAAACAGTCACATATTTCCCAATGATAGGTAAGTGTTAAAAGTATACATTTTTGCTACTGAGTTTTTCAATGCTTTAATTAGGCCCAAGTTTGTAATTCAAAAAAAGTTTAACCCTATCACCATGAGTGTCCTTTACTGCGCATAACACAAGGTTTTAGTGTCTTACATCCAAAATTAAATTAAACTACTGTTTGTTTATTTTATACCAATCAGAATAGCGTAAAATCTTAGCTAATAATCCATATTTTAATAGTAAACAAGTTTTAAGCTCATAATTCTACAAGGCAATATTTAACAAAAAAAACCTGAATTTCGCCTAGTGTGACCCATGTGACATTCTCTCTTAGGATGACATCTTCCCTATTTTACCCATCACCCTTCGAACAAGTAAGAAATTAAATGTAAATTACTCTATAAAATAGTTATTGCTCAGACAAACCATAATTTTTTTTATAGTCTTCAATTTTGTTTGATTACAGAGCTATCGAATAGAAAATCAGATCCCTCCTGCCACATCCTCTCTTTCAGAATTAGTTAATGATGTATTATATAACATTATGTTCAAAACGGTTACATGTCGATTTCACTCAGAGTACCAACATCGTTCTCATGAGAGAGTCAAGGACTAGCATGGATGAATTTGTAACGATTTTTGTAGCATTGTTAGAAACTCAGAAAAATTTGGAGAGGCAAGTGAATTTGTCTAATTTTTGTATGTTATTAGTCTATATTCTTTGGTTCATTATTTAATTAAATAAAAATTAAGTGCATTACTATAATTAATATATAAAATTAAGGTTAACTCTCTTCAACAAACAACATCAAGAAAAAAAAAAGATTTGTTAAGTATTTTATTTCTTGTTTTTCATATTTATTCTTT